TTTTTTTATATCTCAAGTGTTTTCGGGGTGCTGTCAATCAAACCACATCAAATTTTCTTATTGTATAACGTGTAAATACAGACTGTAAATATAAATTTTTTGTTTAATAAAAAAAATAATCTCAAATGATCAGCGTTAGTTAATGGTTCCGCACGCCGCCACTAGTAGTAAAAAATAATCATCAAGATTTGTATCCTTATGTAGAAATTGCATTAAGAATTTTTCTTTCATGTCCTATATCAAACTGTTCGGCTGAGATGTAGTTTTCAGTATTAAAAAGGGTTAAGTCCTATTTAAGATCTAGAAGTTCTAGACTAGAACAACAGATGAGAGGCTAAATTGTTTGGCTGTTTTGACGCGATAGAGTCAGATTTAACATAACAGTTAATTTATGATGATATCATTGATACCTTTGCTAATGAAAAAGAACGACGTAAACGTTTTTAATTTTAACATATATCTATAATATTCTTTTTTAAATGTTGTCAATTAATCTACATTGAGGTTTTTGGTCGAATTAATAATAAATACATATACCTACTAAAATTATGTAATATTTGCTTCGATATAAATTTATTTTTTAAGTATACCTAATATACCTTTCCGATTATGAGTGTAGCGAAGAATGCAGTGATTTCACTATCATCTGTTTTTATACAAATACACATATTGGCATATTGCTGAAAAAATTCAGGTTGGGAGGGGGCGTTTTTTTTCTTACATGGGGCTCAAAATTCCTATAAATACGTCTCTGACCACTACTCAACGAACACACCCAGCATATCCTCACTATATAAGCTATAGAACAAGAACATATAAATGCAGAAATGTAGGTTGCCAATAGGTTAATATTTGAAATCAAATTATTTGGATATTTTGTCTACATATTACACCGCGTGGTACTATCGCTATTATAGTTCATAATTAAATGGGTGTTTAATTTTTATATACAGGGTGTTGCACGATAAATATGTCAAACTTCTAGAGGTGTTTACTGTTTAGTGTTTCTACACCTCAAATGGAACAAAAAAGTCATTATGACCCCTGCCTTAAAAAATAATTATTGTTGTTAGATAAAACTGAAAATTTTCAACATTTTAAAGTTATAAAACATTTGTGTTATTCTTTTTAGCCAAAAAATCAGGTGGGAACCTTGTAAGATATATTGTCCTAATCCCAATTTTATGAGCTTTTCATAAATGTATTCAAATTAATTGTAGTACCTACGGTTTAGCAGATATGAACATTATTATGAATGAAACTTGGGTTTAACCAAGAAAACACAAACATGGAAATTATCACCCTTATTATTGATAATTCGATCATGGTCAAAAGTCATAAGGACTTTTTTTGTTCCATTTGAGGTGTAGAAACACTTCTTGAAGTTCAGCACATTTATCGTGCAACAACCTGTATAAAAATATATTAAAAATAAAGTACTTACCTAAATACCTACCTTAGATACAAATATACAATTATTTTTAGTATATTAATATTAGTGATGGGTCGAACTGTTCGAATCTCGAACCGAACCGAACCGAACCCTTGATGTTCGGTTCGGTTCGAAATTCGAACTCGGCATGAAAAATATTCGAACCGAACTATCAAGCATCTCTTACTGTTCGAAAATCGAACTTGAAAATATTTGTCTCTAACCAGACTTATTGGCCACGATAGTTCAAACTTAAAAATAAATAAAAATTGATAATGGTTATTAAGAAATAATTAGACTATTGGCGAATGGCGATAGAAAGTTATAGCTGTAATGGCACGTCATGTATTATTTATAATAATAATGTTATTGTTCCTCGCCCGTTACACCCCTCTCCGAAAACCAATGGCTAAGTTGTTTATCACCCATAGAGGCCGGGGGTACCTACATTCATAACACGGATATAGATACTATGGTTGCACACTTGCACGACGGCCTGGCCTATATTGGATCACAGCGCCGAGCGGGCGCGGCACCGAATGTTCTTATCAAGTCTGACAAAAAGTCGCGTTTCACGGGCGCCCTCTACAACCACTACTAAGTTACGGTAACCAACCCTGGTTACCTAGCCACTGTGGAGCGCTAGTATGTCGCGACTTTTTTTGTATGGATACTATATATGTATATAAGTAACTTATTTTATTTTTATTTAGTAACAATTTAATTTGTAGGCTGGTACAATGTACATGATAAAAAGTATTGAGTTCGAGTTCGAGTTCGACTTAAAATGATTCTAGGTTCGGTTCGGTTCGGTTCGGTAGAAAATATTACGGTTCGGTTCGGTTCGGGTTCGAAAAAATAATTTAAAGTTCGGTTCAAGTTCGGTTCGATTTAAAAAAGGTGGGTAAGTGGATGTCGCTCTGCTGTACAGTAGGTTACAAGTGGGTCACTGTATAATGGATGATATTAAATTTGAATTCAACGATATAATATCATTGTATAAGAAAAACGATTCTGAGCGGAGACGGTATGTCAGTCTATGTATAAGACATATTATATATGTATATAATATGTCTTATAAAACAAAAAATTGACCTATAATAGGTACCTATAATAAATTCCAAATTAATCATATCACAATGTCCATTAGGTACTTATAACGCGTTATACATCAACAAAAACCGTGATACTATCATAGATATATAATAGTACACTTTAGAAGTTTCAAGTACCCACGAATAATATTATTCAATCACAACAAAATAACTAAAATAGTTATTCTAGGTTTTTTAATATGTAATTTCGTCCAAATTTGAATTTAAAATGTCTGTAAAAAATAACTGTGTTCATATATTTTTTAGATTTTTTGGTTACAGTATGAACTATTTATGAGAACCTTTGTTTTAAATTTGCAATCCTTAGCTATAAAAACTGAACATTTTATAATTTATTAATTTCAATGATTGATAATTTTCGAGATTTTGATAAATTTTGTCAAAATCTGATATTTAAATGCTTATAAAAAAAAACTGTGCCTATGTATTTTTAATATTTTTCAACTGCTATTGTAACAATATATCAGGAGCCTTGTATTAAATTTTTACACTTTTTGGCCCAACAGATAAAACTTTATTGATATTTATAGAAAAAAAAACTAAAAAAAATTGAAAGCTGTAAATGTCCATAAACAGCTCAAAAAGAGTCAAAATATTTTCAAAATTGTATGGTGTATAGGAAATGCTAATATAAACATTCAGTGAAATTTTCATGTATCTACAGTTATATGTTTTTGAATTACAACAAAATAAGGAAATCGCTACATGGGAAATCGAGTGAATATTCAATGTTGTAAAAATTTGAATTTCAAATGCTCATAAAAATTTAATTTGACTTTCTTATAGACATTTTTTTTTTGATAAAGGTAGATAATCTTATAAGGAATCTTGTGTTTAATTTTCAAATCTTAGATTTAAAAAGAAAAATTTTTACGAATTCTTAACTCAAAATAATTTGCTAATTTTCGTGATTTTTCCATATTTTGTCAATTTTTGAACTTTAAATGCTTATAAAAAAAAATTGTGACTAAGGATTTTTAATATTTTTCATCTGCCTTTGAAACAATATATTAGGAGCCTTCTATTAAATTTTCAAGCTTTCGCAACCAACAAATAAAATTTTATTGCTATTTTTAGAAAAAAAACTAAAAAAAAATGGAAAATGAAAATGTCCCTAAACAGTTCAAAATAAATCAAAATATTTTGAAAATGTTATCGTGTATAGAAAATGCAAATATAAACAACCAGTGAAAATTTCATGTATATACGTTCATTTGTTTTAGAGTTACACCAAAAACCAAAATCGATTTTTTGGAAAACCAATTTTGCTTAAAAATTCCCGTTTTTCCTTAATTTTTAAGTTGTTTTTCCCGGCGCTTGTGAAAACTACTGGGAAATTTATACTTTTGACCCCTCAAAGTACCAACTAGATTCACTTTCCTATCAGAAAAGCTACTGATGAAGAAAATCCAAGCACTTTTACTGTCCTAAAACGTGATGACAGACACAAAAATAAAAAAAAAAATAAAAAAAAAATAAAAAAAAAAATAAAAAAATAAATAAAAAAAAAAACACACATCATTGTAAAATCAATACATTCATCGTTTCACTCAGAATCTAAAATCAGCGTTCGACCCATCACTAATTAATATAATATAATTTGGGTAATTTATAACAAGTAGATATTATTATTAGCACATCTTATACAAATAAGAGATGAGCAATAGAGGTACAGTGTTGCATACTTAGTATCTTCTCATAGGAATGGCCGAGAGGGGAGGGAATAGGTACACATTTTGTATGCATAATATAAAATACAGTGAGTTCCGCTTAATGTGATCACTTTGGTGCAGATCATTTTGATTCTATTGACCGGTTTATTCTAAAAAGCATTTACAACAATGTTCAACGAGCTAATGCGGCTTCTCTTTGAGAACATTTATCCAATTTATCGAAACGAACGAGTATATTTTTTTTTTCTTTTATAGTTAAATCATTTCGTTTGGTCGACATTTCAAAAAATACGTCTGATCATGAACAATAAACCGAATAAACTAAATGACACAAGTACACGACGCCGCGACATACAAAGATAATTGATTGACATAATGTACAACGATATACAGTAATACTGATAAATTCAAAAATAAAATGGTTTTTATAAATTAATCAGTTTGAGATACCATAAAAACGATAAGATTGTTCATAAAAGTGATTCAATTATCCGGTACTTAGTGATTTTAATAAAAGGTCAATTTAACATTAGTAGCATACAATTTGGTTTGGGATTTTCATTTTTGATTCTAATAAACGGTTGATTCTATAAACCAGTGATCACATTAAGCGGAACTCACTGTATTATGAATTATGAAGTGGTGTACGCGCTTTATATTATTAAAGATATTATATTTGTTTTATAAAACAACAAAAACATTTTATCGGCCCGTTCCCTTCATATATCCACGATCCACCACTGAGGAGGAACTCCGAGGAAGGTATTGTATTGTTGCGTTATGGCTATTACCTTGAATTTAGCACGAAATCTGAGCAGGGCATTTCGTCGTTGTCACCGAACGTTGTCACTGCATAACACGGCGGTGCTCGTAGTCGCCGTCGTCGTCTACATATTCTCCGTTGCGCAGTCGTCACTGTCACGGTCGCCAAAGTTTGGTCTGCCGCAGTCGCGGTGCCTCGAGAAGTCGAGAACCATTCAAAGGTGTGCGGCTCGAGCAGCGCCTCCAGCCGCGAGTCCGGCAGTCCTAGGGTGTGGGCGAAAAACGTTCTGCACACCTTCACCTTGATGTCGTCGTCGCGGAATGGGACATTTTGGCGTGGCCGTTTTGGCGTGGCCGTTTTGGCGTGGCCGTTTTGGCGTGAAACTAATTTGGCGTAGCCGTTTTGGCGTAGCCGTTTTGGCGTAAATGTTTCAGATTATTTTAAAATAAATGTATTAACCAGTAAACCAGTCAAAACGTATTTTATAGCTCGGTTATCTACGTTTTGTTGATAAGTATGTCTATTGTTCAGTAACATTCGTCACTGTCGTAATGATGTTGTGCGATAAGTTAGTTGTTGTCCTAGGACCTAAAACGTCGCTCGCTAGGTATGGCATAAATATTTTCTACAATTAATATTGAGTTTTATATTTATTTAAATATTGTATACTTATTTATAACGTCAAAATTAATTGAATCTACACATAGGTGGGTACGCATAGGTACAAAAAGGTGGGTAAGTGGATGTCGCTCTGCTGTACAGTAGGTTACAAGTGGGTCACTGTATAATGGATGCTATTAAATTTGAATTTAATGATACAATATCATTGTATAAGAAAAACGATTCTGAGCGAAGGCGGTATGTCAGTCTAGGTTTAAGACAAATTATATACATATGTATGGTATTAAAAAAAAAATTGAAGTATAATAAATTCCAAATTAATTATATCACATTATCACAATATCCATTAGGTACTTATAACACGTTATACATCAACATCAATAACAAACCCTGATACTATCATAGATATATAATAGTACACTTTAGAAGTTTCAAGTAGGTACCCACGAATAATATTATATAATTACAACAAAATAACTAGGTTTTTTAATATGTAATTTCGTCCAAATTTAAACATAAAATGATTATAAAAATAAACTGTGATTGTATATTTTTTAGATTTTTCGGTAAGAGAATTAACTACTTACGTGGAATCTTGTTTTAAATTTTCAATCCTTAGCTATAAAAACTGAACATTTTATAACTTATTAATTACGATGATTAATACATTTTGAGATTTTGAAAAATGGATGTGGGCGGAGACCCGCTAGATTTCCACCATCAATTTGGAATTTAAACGAGCGAGTACCAAATGGTATACACAGAACAAATAATCATGCAGAGGCAGCCAACCGAAGAATAAATGTTGAAATGGGAATGGTCCATCCTACATTATGGTAATTTATAACTTGCTTAAGAAAAATTCAAGCTGGAAGGGATACATATTTATTTCAATTGGAATCAGGAAGAAGTCCCCCTAAAAAGCTCAAAAAATATATTGACACAGACAAGAGACTGCTAAAAATAGTACAAGAATCAGATACTCGAGACATTTTAACCTATTTAAGAGGTGTAGCACATAATATTTCTTTACAATAATAATATTTTAGTAAGTTTTTCAGCTCTATTATCAGCTATCGATTGTATTTTTTAATTAATAGAATTTTTTTAAATGTTTGAGTTTTTTAAATTAAATAAATAATAATTTTAATAAAATAAAAAGAAGTCTTTAACTCCGTCAAAAAAGGCTTCACGCCAAAACGGCCACGCCAAAATGGCTTCGCGCCAAAACGGCCACGCCAAAACGGCCGCGCCAAAACGGCCACGCCAAAACGGCCACGCCAAAATGTCCTAGATCCCGTCGTCGTCGCCGTCACCGCCGCCCAGCCAGAACTCGGCGGTCTGCTCGATGATGTCGTCGTCCGTGTCCACCGTCCGGTGCTTGAGCTCGATGCACGAGCACAGATGCAGGTTCTGCGCAACGCGCGTTTCCGGCACTCTGCGAAACGCGTCGTAAGCCGCGCGCCTGCCGGCCACCGACACCGTCATTGAACAGTCGAGATCGCAGTCCTCGTCGCAATCAGCGTCCAGCATATAATCGTACGACGCCACCAGCCTCTCGTCGAACAGCACCGGATCTGGCGCGGCTGCAAGGAATAATCACAATTTAATTAACAGTAGGTATGGGTATAGGTAATACCTATATGGCTATATAGATTATATAGGCTATATCGTAAAAAGGAATTTTATATATTATGAGTACCTATAAAATATAAGGTACCAGGTGATTCTTTTATCATGAACTACTCATTATTTAAATAAGTATTAGGTTTAAAAAAAAAAATATATATTAAATGGTTTCTAGTCATAAAGAACAACATTTTTTTTTTTAATATATCTTTTTTATCCTTATAATTTTTAAGTTTTTTTTTATTTTTTTTTGAAAGACAATACATACAGTTTTAATTTCGTCTTCAGAATAATTTTCTGAGTATTTTGATACAGTAAAAAGAATTTAGATCTAGTATACTTTATGTCTATGAGCTATAGGAAAGTATATAAAGTTTAGTGGACCGGAGCAGTGGACTAACATTTTGCGGGGTAACTGCTTACCACTCCACTCAGGCACGGATCCAGTACAAAGATCTGGATAGGGGGCAACAATTTTCTTACAACACAAATACAATTATAATAAAATATTATACTTAATTCTGAATTTAAAAATGTTATCATAATAGTAGGTAGGTATATATGTAGTCAATGTGATAAATAAATTATTGATTATCTATATATATGTTAAGGTGTATGACCGCAGTAGGCGAATGTTGACAGTCACCGGTGTAGGTTGACATATACCAAAAACCTTAGTGAATGTTGACGAAATTGTCTTAATGCGTTCATATACCGGTGATTGTTGACATTTACAGTCAGTGTTTGGTAAATGTTGACCACACTTGAAGCACAATGTATGTAAAAGGTATTTTTGTATTATTTTGTAAAATTATTTAGATGTTATCGCCCAGCCACAATATGCATTGGAGACGTTTGGACGTTAGTAATGTTATCGCATGAGACAATCCGATTGTCAATCGTTTGCTAGATAATATAATATAAATATACCCTCGTCAGTATCGACGCGTATTCTAAACCGAGCGCAATAGTTTAGTGTAATACAACGGGCCTTAGTGTAATATTTTATTAATATTATATTCGAATTAAAACTAATAATGGATAAAAGTATAAAAGATATATTTAAGAAAAGTTTAGTGCACTTTTATTAAAAAAAAGGGAAGATAATTGTTTTTATTTAAGCACTGAAAAATATAATAAATATATAAGTGAAGTTATAAATGCTAAAGCAAAAAAAAATAAACAACGAAGTGATTACAGACGATTAAATCGATTTGACGTTATGGATATTATGGGTAATCATAAACTAATCGTCCCGTTAAAAGCAGGTGAAACTAAAATTATTTACTATGTAAAGAACGAAGAACTATACGACATTATGTACGAAGCTCATATAAAAATTGGTCATGGAGGTCGAACCAGAATGATGAACGAATTGCAGAACAAATTCAAAAATATAACATATGAAGTTGTAATGTTATTTTTAAGTTTATGTGTTCAATGCCAAACCAAACAAAAAGTTCCGAAAAAAGGTATTGTAATAAAACCTATTATAAGTCGTGAACTTAATTCCCGGTGTCAAGTAGACTTGGTAGATATGCAAACTTGCAAAGATGTTGAATTTAAATTTATATTAAATTATCAGGATCACCTAACCAAATTTATTCAATTAAGACCTCTAAAATCTAAAACTGCAGAAGAAGTTGCACATCACTTATTAAATATATTTCTTATTTTCGGTGCGCCAAATATTTTACATTCCGACAATGGACGAGAGTTCGTAAATAAAGTTATATCAGAGCTGTGTTCAATGTGGGATGGTGTGAAAATTGTGCATGGTAAACCACGCCACAGCCAAACACAAGGATCCATCGAAAGGGCAAACCAAGATTTCCAAAATATACTGAGAGCTATGATGGAAGATAATGACACTACAAAATGGTCAGAAGTATTACCATTTGTCCAATTTGCGAAAAATACGACGTATCATCAAGGTATTAAGCAAACGCCATACGAAGCTATGTTTGGCACTAAAGCACAAAGAGGTCTTTTAACATCTTCTCTTCCACGAGAACAAATAGAAAAACTAGCAACAGAAGAAGAATTAGAACAAATACTTCAGTCTATAAGTAAGTATAAATTATAAAATTAAATTAAATATATTAATATGCAGTGACACCTTGTATGCATAAAGTGTGATCGATATATAGTAACTAAATAAGAATTTTTTTGACAGCTCCTCAAACTGACCCAGAAAATAAAGGAAGTGATGGCAATGAAGTAGAGGAAGAGTCTAACGGTAAAAGCGACGATAATCTTGACAATCAAGCAAATAATGATGAAGATAAGCTCAGCGAAAAAAGTGATGACAAAAACCAAAATGAATTATTAAGTATGTAATTTAAAATAATAATACCTATTACAAAAATAATTCAAACAAATATTTTGTATTTAAAAGACATAAATGAAAGGAAGGAGAATACAATTAAGAATAGAGCTTTGGCACTAAATGGACTTCAAACACAAGCAAGTGTAATGCTGCGATCGTCGAACCAAAAATTTCCGCCTGCTCAAGTAGGTGATACTGTTCGAGTGCGTGTTCCAGATATCGATCGAGGACGTATGTATTACCAAAATATCTTGGCTGTTGTAATGGACGTTGATAATGACTTCTACAAATTAGGAACAAAATATGGGATTATCAGTCAGCTGTACACTCGAAATCAATTTGCAGTGTGCAAAGAAAAATTGATATCGTTAAACGACGTTTTATCCGATAAGACAATTTCTTTGAGACAGGTATCGACAGCTGCTTCCAAAAGTGGTGGCCAAGGTTATGTAAGATGCAATTGTAAAAAAAAATGTAATACAAAAAAATGTAATTGTAAGAATGGGGGAATACTTTGTAACAGTAAATGCCACGATAGTTTACCATGTTGTAATAAATAAAACTTATACTACCTAAACTTAAATATTAAAAAATTAATTTGTTCAACTATATTTATTTATGAATTTATTAGCTATCTATTTGATTATATATTATATTGTCGTTGTCACACTTGTCAACATTCACTAAATAACTATTGTGCATGTCAACAAATACTGGTAAATGTCC